AGGTTCACCAGGGTCAGGAAGATGGCTGCGAGTACTTGCAGTGCAAGCTCAGTCATGAGTCTGCGCCTCAGAACCCAAGGTGGAAAAAGAGAACTGAAGCTTGGAAGTTGTCTCTTGACTTCCACACGATGCTAAAAATTATGATTGGCAGTTGTCACCGCAGTTAAGGGAGCTAACTCATTGTAAGAAATACTTCTGTGTTCCCAGTTTTAATATCTCTGAGATTGGGATGTCAGTTTAACTGGTATGGCTTTCCTTGTGTGGATCTTACTTTTGTCCCTTCTGCAGACCCTTCTCTGCATTTATAAGCAAACCGTCACCCTCTTCTTTAATGCAGCCCTGTGACCTCCTCTCAGTGTTTACACACTAACTTAGCATTCCGGCATCGTCGCTGATCCCCACCGCTAAGATCCTGTCCAATCTCCTGGCCTTGCCTGTAGCTTCATTGTGGCTGTGTCACGAGTTTCCCTCTACTGCGGCATGTCCCTGCTCATCATTACACCATGTTGTAAATGTGCGTTTTTAAGTGTCGGGCCAGGGAGCTGGCCAAAGGCACCTTGCTGCCCAAACCGACGAGCTGAGTTCCGTCCTTAGGATGCACAAGCTGGAAGGAGAGAGCTGACTCCTGCAAGTTGTATTCTGACCTCCACATGCCTGCCTGGGGGTGTGTGTGCACGCGCACGCTGCGCATTTCCATACATGCACGCTCTGCATAAAGTGCAATAAATCGAGTCTTTCAGATAAAATTATTAGTTGCTTAATAAAAGTTTATTAAACTAAAGGAACTGTGAAGATTAATGTGGTCTAAATTAGTATAGTTATGGAAGAAGGAGATAAAGTTAGAAGGAAGGTTTAGCAAAGAAATATCTTAGGTAGTAGTTCAATAGAGGGGAAAACACCTGTCAATCATGAAAGTTATCAGCAAGCTATTTAAGTTCTTGGCAGGGTAAGACATGTACAATATTAATCTGTCTGAAAAATTAGCATTGAGACATAATTCTACCTTTGTTTCAGAGGTTGAAGAGGAGATTCAAGAGATCTGACAGGAGAAAAATAATTAAGTGAAACCCCAGAGGGCAAGAGAGAGACAGTAATGGCAGGCAAACTTGGCTTGAGCTTGAAGTGTGATCTGGTGGTCCAAGAAAAGCTAGTGCTGTTCCGAGCAGCTAACAAGGAGGAACCCCGTTGCAGGGCAGGGAGCAGCGCTGACCCACGGGGAACGCACACCTGACAGACAGAAGGAGCCGGGTCGGAGAGCGCCGGCCGCCCAGGAAGGTAGGTTAGATTTCGGAGCACACACTGTCGGCTGCAGCCTCTTCAGGTCCAGGAGGGCACACGCCCAGACACCTGGGATGTTGACATCAGAGCAGGAGAGACAGTATTTAGCCTGGACTGGAAAACTTTTTTTTTTTGACACAGGGCTCACTCTGCAGCCGTGGTCTGGAACTCACTATGGCAGACTATTCTGTCCTTGAACTTGTAGAGATCTGCTGGCCTCAGCCTCTCTCAAGTGCAGGGATTAAAGGTGTGCACCATCATACCTGCCTTAAAAGGTTTATAAGAAGATGAAACTAAGGACAAGTAAGGAGATGTCCCAGGCCATTGCCTTTGTAGTTCTGTGGCCATCAACCTCGCAAACTTTACAGTGTGAGCCGCAAGGCCTCAGGATGGTAGAGCGCTTTCTCCGCAGAAATGGTTGAGAAACATTTTGGTCTCACGAACAGGCTTTAGAAAGTAAGCTGCGGCAGCTCGACATTTGTGAACACGATGTCAAGCACCGTCTACAGTAGGGCGCGTGGTTTTTGAGGTTCTGAATAAAACCGCTGGCCAGGTAAGGCATTATAGGCTTTATGCTTCTGAGCTTTTTCAGTGAAGAACTTCAGTGACTTTCATAAAACTTTGTAATAGAATAGTAGTAGAAATAGGCCAAATGTAAGCTGTTAAAGAAAGAAAATGGGTCCTGTTTAAGTGGTTATTGCCTGTCTTGAGGTGGCAGCATGTATTTTTAGGTAAAGGTATTCCTTGTTAATAGTGAAAAAGAAGCCTTGAACTGATAACATATTTTCCAGGGCATTTTAACTGCCAGAGAGAAGTGTTACCACCTTGCTTGCTGCCATAGTCTCTCAGTTATTTTTCAATTCAAGATAGGATGAAGATGGCTCAGTGGCTAAGAGCATTGATTGCACTCACAGAATCGCAGATTTGGTTGCAAGCACTTGCGGGTGAGCTCGCAGCCTCTAGTTCTGGGGTGTCTGACCCCCCCTTCTGGCCTCCAAGGGCACTGCATGCACGTGATATACCTAACAGCAGGCAAAACATTCGTATATGTAAACTAAATAGACACAGCAGAGAAAGTCATGATTGTTAATTCAGAGGCAAGTTCTATTTTCTGAGGCAGATATTCTCAAGTTTTAAACCAAAGGAACCCACAGCATACCTTTACAAAGCAAATGACAAAAGAGAAAACCTCTTGTCCTTTTCATTTCTGGACGGCATGGTTTCTACTACTTGGCTGTGAGGGCTGTCTGTGGTGCAGCGCCAAAGACAGTGTGGGCTGTGAAGAACACGTGCCAGGGCCTGGTGGACAGGTAGCTCAGTCTTGTCTGAGCAAGCTAACCTCTGCCCCCGTCAGGGTGCCCCCTTCAAGTGCCAAGTGTCAGGACACACCGCTTTGCGAGATGAAAGGGTCTAGCACCCATGAACAGTGAGGAAGAAGCCAGAAGCAGCAGCAGGAGTTTTCACAGTGGGATCAAGTCCGTTAGCTGTGGGACGGGCTGGAGGGGCGAAAGCGGACAGCAGTGTTTCGTGCAGGGCCGGTTGACAGAGCCCCGGGGAGCTCACGCAAAACCCCAGGCAGAGCTTGTTCTGAGGAACCCGGGGCTCAGGGGTTCCTGCCTCCCCAGCTCGGCGACCCTTGAGTGGGCATCCTCACATGGGGAGCCCGACTGGAAAGTCACTTTTGTGGCTTCTTAATCGTTGTGACTGTTGTGAGTCGTGAGGTGAAGGCCTGTTTTTCCGATGGTCTCAGGCGGGCCCTGTGACAGTTGTGGGTGTTGCTGGCCCTGCCAAGCACAGACACTCGGCCAGGTGTGGCTTAGGGAGAAATGTCTCAGTGTTCATGGGGGTGACAGGTGGTGGCAGCTTGTAGGAAGGAGGTCTGAGTGGCACGCTGCCATGCCCGCCAAGCCTCCCTAGCAAGATCTATAAGGTCCAGCGCGTTATAGAGCAGCGCTTCTCAGCCTGTGCGCCACAGCCCACTGCGGGTCAGATGACCCTTTCACAGGGTCGCCCAAGACCATCGGAAAACAGGTGTTGGAAATAAGTTGTAGCAGGCTAAATAGCGTTTGCCCTAATAATCATCATGGCAGTATTATTTAACTGGCTATCACAATCAGTAAGACACAGATAGCTGTTAGATTTTATGACTGACTGCCTTATATCACCCCGGCCTGGGCAGATAGTTCCATCTACACTATCTTGTATCTTTTAGCCCCAGCCCATCCCATCCACCTTAACCATTCCTGATTAGACCACCTCCCATCCATAATCCTAAATTCTTGTTTGTATTTTTCATCGGGGTCTTTGCGAGCCATTTCGGAGCTCTTTCTCCAAGCCCAGGCTAACCCTTCCTCGTCTCTTCCCTGTCCCCACCACCCTCGAGCCTTCGCCACACCTACTCCTTCCGCCCTGCCCAGGTACAGGCCTTTTCTGCCGAGAAGTCAGGAATAGTGTCTTAGGCAGGTTAAACAGCAGGACTTGCTGTGTGACAGTTTGCTGGCAAACAGAATCCCAGGGGCAAGCAATTAACAAATACAAATCACCAGCCACACCTCAGCAGCTGGAAGTAGGCCGACAGGAACGCGCACATCTCCCCTGCTGTCTGCCACGTCCTCCAGCCTTACCTCCTGACAGTGCCATAATTTCCTAAAAGGGATTTCCAACTTCCTGAAGGAGGGGCTCACGTGACCCTTCACAGGCTCACACGTCCAGTACGACTCATAGCACAGCAAAGCTACAGTTAGGAGGTAGCAACACAGGTGATTTTATGGTTGGGGGTCACCACAACACTGTATTAAAGGTTGAGAGCCACTGGGAGGCGAAGGGGGGGATTTGACGTTTGAGCCACAGCATGGCACCGCGTTGCCCGGGATGGCCCCAGACTCCTGGGTGTCGGCTGACCGCAGTTAGGTTCTGCCTTCCAGCCTCTGTCATCCAGCCTCTGCTTGCCGCTAATCTGCTTTCTGCCTCTGGGGCTGCTTATCAGATACTACTGTGAATGTAACAGAGTTATGCAGGGTGTGGTCCTTTAGAAGTCTGGCTTCTCTCGCTTAGCACACTGTTTGTTTCCAAGGTTTAGCTAAGTCGTAGCGTGCATTTTTATTTATTTTATCTCATTAATCATACAAATGTAATTAATTGTATATACTATGTATACTTTATTCCTTAAACAATGCTATGTTGTATGGGTCTTCCATGTTTTGTTTGTAGTCATCATCTGGCCGACCTTTGTAAGAACTGGGAAACTTTATGTTACCCTTGAATCCTTACCATGCTAAAGGCTTAGTGGTTTTGTTGTTGTTGTTTTAATGTGTTTATATGTTTTGTCTACATGTCCGTGTGGCACATGGATGCCTTATGCCCAGAAATGCCAGAACAGGGCATCAGATCCCCTGAGACTAGTGGTATAGACAGTTGCCAGCTGCCGTCTGGGTACTGGGAATTGAATCTAGGTCTTCTGGGAGAGCAGCCGGGTCTCCAGCCCATCGTTAGTATTTTCAAAAGCAGTTCCATAGATGATCATTCCTCTTCAGGTAAAGACTAGTTTTGCATACTTTTTATTGCACCGGTTAGAGCTTGCTGTAAATGTTGAATAGAAACAGAGATTCTCATCTTCTTAGTGTTAAGATAAAAGTATTTGCTCTTTGTTCTAATTTGCCTTTCTATTGTGATAAAATACTCTGGCCAGAGCCCCTTGGGGAGAAAGAGTTTGTTTGGCTTACACAGGCGCAGTGCACCGAGGGTGGTCGTGGAGGGACAGAGCTCGAAGCCTCCCTCACTGGCCAGAGTCAGCTTTCCTGAGCACCCCAGGCTGCACATGCGGAGGGCTCGGAGGCCCCATTCGTGTCCGACAGGGCGGTTCTTCAGCTGACATTCTCTCTTCCCAGGGGCTTTAGGTCCTGTCAGACTGTCGTGAAGACTAAGTGGCACACTCTTCTGTGGAGAAGTCTGGCGGTAGCTGAAGTCTGACTGACGGTAGCTGAAGTCTGGTGGTAGCCGTCCGTTCTGGTTAGAGGCCCCTACGAGGTACAGAGAGTTCGGTTACTCCCTTTCCGACACTTCATCAGCAGTATAGAGACTGTATAGACTGCTTTTTCTGGTTTTTTATTATTATAAAATGACTTTTTAAGAAAAGTTTTGTTTTGTAAGTATGTGTGTGCGTGTGTTTATGTGTTCTATGTCTATTGCACAAGGGTGGAGGTCAGGGGACAAGCTTAGGGAGTTTGTTTTCTCTTCCTGCCATGGGCTTTTTAGATTTGCATGCATGGCAACTGCTTTTGCACACTGAGCTATTTCAGGGGCCTATTTCTTTGGCTTTCTGGAGACAAAAACCTCACACTGGAGCCCAGGCAAGCCTGGGACTTACTGTGTGTCCCTAAAGTTAGCCCAACATGGAGCTGTAGTAAGCCTCCTGTTTTAGCATCTTCATCACTGCTCTGTTGCTGTGAAGAGACACCATGACCAGGGCGACTTCTAAAAGGAAACACTTAATTGGGGGCTTACTTAAAGTTTCAGAGGTTTGGATCATTATGATCATAGCAGGAGGATGGTAGTGTGCAGGTGTGTGCGCGCGCGTGCGTGTTTGTATTTGGAAAGTGGCTGAGAGCAGCATACTGATCCAAAGGCAAAGAGAGATCTGAGCCTGGAATGGTTTTTTCCCCTTTTCTTTTTAAATTTTATTCGTTTGTTTATTTATTTGCTTGTTTATTTGTTTCAATTTATTCACTTTGAATTCCCGCTGCAGCCCCCTCCCTCATCTCCTTCGAGTCCCATCCTTTCTCCCTCTTTTCCACCTATCCCTCTCCCATAGACCATTGATAGGGGAGGTCTAACCCTAGCCTGTCAGGTCTTATCAGGACTGACTGCATCATCTTCCTCTCTGGCCTGGCAAGGCTGCTCCCCCCAGAGGGAGGTGATCAAAGAGTTAATGCCAGAGACAGCCTCTGCTCCCAGTCTAGATCCTCTCCATGCATAGTCCTTGGTTGGGGTATCAGTCTCTGCAGAGCCCCCTGAACCCAAATTCTTTGGCTCTGTTGGTCTACAGACTGGGAAAAGATCTTCACCAACCTTACATTTGACAGAGGGCTAATATCGAGAATATATAAAGAACTCAAGTTAAACACCAACAAACCAAGTAATCCAATTAAAAATGGGATACAGACCTAAACAGAGAATTCTCTGTAGAGGAATATTGAATGGCAGAGAAACACTCAAAGAAATGCTCATCGTCCATAGTCATCAGAGAAATGCAAATCCAAACGACCCTGAGATTCCACCTCACACCCATCAGAATGGCTGAGATCAGTAACTCAAAGGATGATGCCTGCTGGAGAGGACGTGGAGAAAGGGGAACCCTCCTCCACTGCTGGTGGGAATGTAACCTTGTACAAACACTTTAGAAATCAATCTGCCACTTTCTCAGAAAATTGAGAATAGGACTTCCTCAAGATCCAGCTATACCACACCTGGGCATATATCTGAAATATGTTCACGTATACAACAAGGACGTTTGCTTAACCATGTTTGTATTTGTAGCAGCTTTATTCGTCATATCCAGAATCTGGAAACAACCTAGATGTCCCTCAGTTGAGGAATGGATTCAGAAATTGTGGTACATTTACACAGTGGAATACTACTCAGCAATTAAAAACAAGGAAATCATGAAATTTGCAGGCAAATGGTGGGAACTAGAAAAGATCATCCTGAGTCAGGTATCCCAGAAGCAGAAAGTCACATATGGTATAAGCTCACTTGTAAGTGGATATTAGACATATAATATAGGATAAACATACTAAAATCTGTACACCTAAAGAAGCTAAGCAACAAGAAGGACTCTGGGTAAGATGATCAGTCCTCATTCAGAAGGGCAAACGGGATGGACACTGGAAGAGGGAGGAAACAGGAAACAGGTCAGGAGCCTACCACAGAGGGCCTCTGAAAGACTCTACCCATTAGGATATCAAAGCAGATGTTGAGACTAATCGCCAAACTTGGGCAGAGTGCAGGGAATCTTAGGAAAGAAGGGGGAGATAGAAGACCTGGAGGGCACGGGAGCTCCACAAAGAGAGCAACAGAACCAAAAAACCTGGCATAGGTTTTTGAAACCCCAAAGCCCCCCGCAGTGACACAGGTTCCCCAACAAAGCCACACCACCTCATCCCTTGCAGCCCCCACTGTAATGGCTGACACACAGTCCCAGCTACAGCGACTCACTGCAGCTTCTCCCGGGCTTGTTGGGGGCCCGTGATGGTAGAGTGGTTGAGGCCACTTGCCGCTGCGCTTGCTGTCGAGTTCTGTTGTTGAGAGAGGACTAGCTCCAGCAGGCTTTACCTGACCCCTGTGCATGCCTTGCCTGTAAATGTAACTCAGAATCTTAAAGTTGTTGTTCCACTGCTTTATGGTGTCTTCTTCTTGTCCCTCTCACAGCAGAGTTTCCTGGAGTCTCCTGTCATACATGTTCATCAGGTGTCAGCTTCTCACACTTGTCTGTTAATGACTTTAAGCAGTTGAATTGCAGGGTTTCTTGGTGTAATTTTGTTTGTACCTTTATTACTTGGATTTGGTTAGGCCTTTTGAACCTGTATGTGTGTAGTTTGATAAGATTTGGAAGGTTGAGCCATTGTTAATCTGTTCTTTTCTGACCTTTGGGACCTTGTGTGTTACAAGGCCACTTGAGCTCCCTGCAGCTCAGTGCTGCCAAGCCATCTGCTGTGGTTTTGTTTCTGAAGGTTTGTTTTTATTTTTAATTGTGTGTCTGTGGAAGGGAGCTGTGTACAGGCGTGTGTAGGTGCCAGCGACCCTCTGGAAAGCTCTGTACTTGTCAGGTCTCATGGATCTGTGGGGTCTGTCAGGGTGTAGGGAAATGCTGATGGGGGTTCTGGAACTTGAACTCGGGTTCTCTGAGAGCAGTGTGTCTTCCTACGTGCTGGGCCGTCTCTCTACTCCCTGCTCTGTTGTTTGTTCTTGTTGGTTTGGTTAGTTAGGTCTTTTTGTTGCTGTTCCTTCCCTTCCCTTCCCTTCCCTTCCCTTCCCTTCCCTTCCCTTCCCTTCCCTTCCCTTCCCTTCCCTTCCCTTCCCTTCCCTTCCCTTCCCTTCCTCCTTCCCTTCCCTTCCTCCTTCCCTTCCCTTCCTCCTTCCCTTCCCTTCCTCCTTCCCTTCCCTTTTTCCTTTCCTTCCATTTTTCCTTTTCTTTCCTTTCCTTTCCTTTCCTTTCCTTTTTCTTTTCCTTTTCCCTTTCCTTTTTCCTTTTTCCTTTCCAGCAACCATTTTTCTTTTTCCTGAAAGATGTCCTTTAGTAGCTCCTCATAATGCAAGTTTGCTGCTGACGAATTATTTTTGAAGTAATTTTGAGGAGTTTATAATCTGAGGCTGACAGCACTCCCCCCC